TTAAAAGCTGATTCACAAGTTCTGAGCCTCAGATTGAAGGAAGTGGGTAATAGTGTAATCTTTTGCTGTGGACATTTACATGATGTCATAGAGGTATATTCACATAAACTTGTGTCAAATGACCAAATTGTCTCGCTGTAGCAAGTCAGTAAAATAAGCAAGGGTATGTCAGCTTCGGAAAATAAACAAAATTGAAGAACTTGCAGAGATAAATAACTTGCAGAAAAAGTAGCTTTAATACCAAAAGCCATCCATGAAGATATGGGTAAAAGAGTAGAGAAGGTTGTCCTGTCCTCTCCCGCGTATAGGTTAAACGTGGCAGGGATAGCCTTTAAGACGACTCTCTATTCTGGAACTTCTGTCACGTCAGCAACAATGATCAAATGATCCAGAGAATCCACGATATGATGCTGAGCAACCAGCACATGACTGAGCGGCGTTCAGTAGGCGTTACCCTCTACATTCCTTTATCACATAAACTTGGGCAATGAAGAAAGTATATGCTCTGTTTGAATCTGATCCATAAAGGTTCTTGCGACAATTAGTGAATATGGATGAAACGTGGGTTCACTACTTCCAACCTGAGTCCAAACAATAATCAAAAGTGAAAGCATTTGACATTATCACCAACAAAACGGCAAAGACTGTCCCACCAGCTGGACAGGTTACGACCTCGTGTTCTGGATGTCACGGGTATCATCGTGGTGGAATATCTTCCAAAAGCCCCCACAAAAAAACCGGAGTATATTATACTTCACTTTTGGGGCAATTATGGGATTGGGTTATGACTAAGAGACGTAGAAAGTTGAGAAAATGTGTGTTCTTCCAACAGGACAATGCACCAGGGTACAAATCAGTCATTGCAATGGCTACAATCCACGAATGTGACTTTGAACGCCTTCAGCAGCCACCTTATTCTCCTGATCCGTCATACTTCCATCTGTTCCCAAACACAAAACAGGCTCTAGCAGGATACCAGACACAACATAGCTCTGTTTGACTGAGTGACGTGGGAAGCTGAGAACAGGTGAGCTCCATCGGGACAATGCGCTGACATGGCTACAATCCACGAGTGTGGCTTTGAACGCCTTCAGCAGCCACCTTATTCTCCTGATCCGTCATACTTCCATCTGTTTCCAAACACAAAGTCAGGTCTAGCCGGAACCTATTTCGACTCGAACTATGACGACATAGCAGGTGTGGAAGACTTTTGGACAGCTAAGAGAAGGAATTCTAAGAAAGTTGGATAAGATCCCCCCAACACCACTAGCAAAATTGTATCAATGTGGAAGGGGATTACCTTGAAAAATAATCAAACAATTATCAAACATGTGCAAATAGATATCTAATGACTTACCTAAATCCACGTGCTAAAATATACTCTGTCAACACGTCTCGCTTTTAACACATTACTTGACTGATTCTCATAAAGGGCAGGATACATTTAATTGGTTCGCGATGTGGACCAGATGGCGCCTGATTGGATGTCGACGCATTGGTTTCTTAGGAGGTTTTAACATCCCATAATGCAATTGTGCATTGTGCATTGCTATTTATCTCGTGTATTAGTTTAGAAAGTAAATCTATATAGCCCTATATTTCGTGTATTAGTTTAGAAAGTAAATCTATATAGCCTACGAGAATGTCTGGGTCATTAATGGCGAAATACAGTAATCTGATATTTTGCATATGGAGATATGTAAACTCTGTAAGTCAAATACATATCAACATGCATCACTTCATCGGGGGGGGGGGGGGGGGGGGGCAGTCGTCAAGGGCGCCGCGATTCCCTGTGCAAAGTTGCGTCCCTTGGGCACGCCAGAAACCTATGATTTCGGGTTCGAATCCCGGTTCGCCCCAATTATGCTTCTAGGTTTGTCAGCACCATTCCCGTGCTCGTAGGTTTCACTGAAGTGGTAAACTTCTGAGACCTGCATCACTCCGGGCTTTCCTCCCACATTAAGCTGACACGCCGCGATATAACTGTAATAATGTTAAAAGCGGCGTTAAACCCAACTCACTCACTTCATCGCATTTCACTTTTAATAAAAAAACACATTGAGAAACGAGAAATATAGAAATACATATATATAGAAATGGAACTGGGAGACGTTAAATAAGAAATCGCCAGTGTGCATTCGTATCGTAAATATCATATAGCAGGAATAACAATTATATACAGAACGCAAAACAATGTTGGGGATCATGAAAATGTTTGGGAAATGTTTATGAAATTGTGTGTTCAGTCTTCGCTTCAAACAAAATACCCATAATGTAACGCTTTTTGGTTTAGTATTTTATGCGAGCTTTTTTGTGTGTTTATGTGAGGTGAGGTGAAATGGGGTTTAACGTCGCCTTCTAGATTATTGCGTGCATATGTAGCGCTATGCATGCGTGCGAACTGGGTATAAACGTGGAGATGGTCACACAGAAGCTGTGATACTGATATCATGTTCACACTTAAACACACAATGATTAAAACATAGTTTCTATATTGTTCCAGATGTTTTATAAGATATAAGGTTTCGTGAGTTGAATTTTTCCTTTCTGTTCTCACATCATGATGGCAATAGTGTAGAGTAAGTGTTTGCTCGTTACATAGAAGAGACGGATCGAATCATCACATGAGTACAGTGTATGAGGCCCAATTTTGATGGCCAATTTGTCTGCTATTCGCTGTGCACGGTTGGGTCTCTTAGATGAGGTGAGGTGAAATTGGGTTTAACGTCGCATGCACGTGTGTGTGCGTGCGTGCGTGCTTGTACTAGTCCGGACTGATGCCGATACCATGCCGCAGTTTCAGATGAATACCCAACGCAGACACAGTATACTGACTCCGAGCCGACCACTCCTTGTTTTAGCCCCTTAATGCCGAGCGCCAGACAGGGTAACAACAAGTACCATATTTTAACGTCTTTTGGTATGACGCGGCCGGGGACCAAACCCCGGACCTTCTGCTCTCCGGGCGGACACTCTACCACTAGACCACGGAGGCGGTCGGGTCTCCTAGACGTACAAGTGGGTTCGAATCCCAGGTTCGTCCTGATTAGTTATCTGTGACAGTCTCGTGCTCGTGGGTCTCAAAAACGTCCAAGACCTGCATCACTTTGGGCATACCTACCTAATCAAACTGTCACGCCGTGATACAATTGAAAAGATGTTCAAAGCGGCGTAAAACTAAACTCACTCACTCTGACATCCTGACAAATGGAGAGAAGGTTAAAGGTCAAGGAGAAAATAAGATGACTGTTCGTTGATTAAAACATACGACAAACATCTGGTGTGTATACGATAAAAAGTCGATTGTAGACCAAGTCATGGTCATTACAGGGCTTGACCAGTAGCTATAGAGAAGACAAAGAGAGCGCCATAACAGTGCCAAAGCCGATAGCAGCGACTGTTCCCTAGCCAAACCAGCTCAGTGCATGTGTAGTTTTTCTGCGTTTACAAATGATGTTATGTAGCTAGGAATGATTACTCAGCAACTTATCGAACGACCTCAGTGGCGGAGTGGTACAGCGCCTGACGGAGAGTGAAAGGTCGGTGATTCGAAAGCCGGCCGCGTGACAAAAAACTTTGAAAGATGCTACTTGTTTTTACCCTGCTTGGCTTTCAGAATTAAGGACATAAAACAAGGACTGGTCGGCTCGAATCAGTATACTGTGAGTGAGTGAGTGAGTGAGTATGGTTTTACGCCGGTTTTAGCAATATTCCAGCAATATCACGGCGGGGGACACCAGCAATGGGCTTCACACATTGTACCCATGTCGGGAATCGAACCCGGGTCTTCGGCGTGACGAGCGAACGCTTTAACCACTAGGCTACCCGACCGCCCCTCAGTATACTGTGGCTGAGTGGGGTAATCATGTTAAACTGCGGCATGGTATCACTGTGGGCTAGCACTATAGAAAAACGGCATACGTCCGCACTGGTACAAGCAAACACACACATACAGAGACGCACAGACACACACGTGCATGGACGTCGCTACATAAATGCAATAATCTTGTGAACGACTTAAAACCCCATTTTAACTCACTCATTTTATAAAACGCTAGGTACATGTGCCCAGTACCCTATCAAATACCGCAACCACTATCAAAACACGCTTTGGTTGGTTATTTATTCATACTATCCCAAATTTAATAGAAACAAACTCATTCTGTTCCAGCCAAAAACAAGGGAAATAAAAAAAGCCGTCTAGACCCATTGTAGGCATATCACGTGCACCTGATATACACACATCGTTTGTGCGCGACCCTGACCAAATTTCACGATCCATGGTCATTGTTTCCATCATACTCTCGTCTGCTTTGACATGGGAAAGTCATATCAACGCTCATTTAAAATAATCTAAATATGGAAACACAAATTCATCTCAAAACCGGTTATTTCAGTCTATTATAGAGATGCCGTTCAACCCAAAATACACTTCAAAGCAGTTGAACAACATTCACTTACTCATAGTGACGAATCTGTGCAATTTCAAAGCATAGCGGATAATGGATTCTTGTAAGTTCACGTAAGACAGACTTAACGATGATATATAACACATCGTTTACAGGATTGTGTTTTCCGTTTGTGTCCCAAACGACAAAGAAATGTGAAGACTGAAAACAAGCGTAAACTAAAGTCCGAAACACCTGGCGTTTTATTATCTCCATATTACCCTCATGCTGGCGTAAGCAACTTGTACCACAGTTAATATACATGAGACTTTCCGTGTATGTGAATATATCATTATTGTAACATATTTCCGCTGTGGACCACTTATTCTGAAGCTCCGGAATGAATCAAGCTTTCCGTGTCTATGTTGTAGCGTGCGCCCTTGCCGGCTAAAGTCCAAATCGCATGCATCATACACTTGCAATTGTTCGTCGTTGTCTATTCCCTGTAAATAGTACGCAGGTTTTAATGACAGAGTTTGGGGATGCGCGCGTTTTGCATGCCGGGAAGTTAAAACCTCCTACAGTAAACACTCAACTCAGCCAGTCAAACTGCAGCATTTAACCAATAGAATTTCTAATCATAGCTTGCTGTGGTTGTTATAGGATGATATGTAACCGAAGGTAACACGAAATGAAATAATAGCATTTGGATTTTACAACTCGACAAATATCTCACAAATTTCAAAGGCGTTACCATACTAATCAGGTAAGAGTACTATTTTACCCTCACAAGTTTATTAACGCACGTTAGTAACTGAAATGCTGAATCAATGTTGAACTGTAGTGGGAGATTTCTGGTACTATTGCAGTTAAATCACTGTTTATTTCTGCCACACCCATCAAAATTGTCCCGCGTCGCGTGTTGCTGTTCGTGGTCTTTCAAAGCTATATTATTTAAACTGTTTAACTGGATAGACGGTAGGTTAAAATACTACACATATCTCAATTTGAACTGAACAATCTGATGAACAATAATAAATTTCCTGTGGCCTAAAATATTCATCATCGATCAATCTATCCTTTCTCGGCCGATATCTATATTTGTACCACATAGAAATGGGAACGATCCACCTCAACAGTTCTACAGAAAACGGATTCGTCTCAACCCTGAATTTTCATTTGTTTACATTAAAAAGCCTCACATAATGTGTTTGTGTAAATGAAAAAAGATAATATTTCCCTGGGTTTTATTTGAAACGGATTTCTTTCTGGTAGATTGCTTATTTAGTTATTGTCTTTAATTGACCAGCATCACCTTTCCTAAGTACAAACACAGATTTTGTGCGCTTTATTTGGATATTTCTATGGATATTAATGATGTGTCATGCCGCACTCAGCAACAATCAGTCTTCATCGCAGCAGACTGTAAATAATCGAGTCTTTACCCGTCAAACCAGTGGTTCAACGACGACACATTACCAACCAGGTTACATGTCACAGATTGTCTGATCCAGACGCGATTATTTACAGACCGCCGTCATGTGGATGGATTATTGCTGAGTGCGGCGTTACACAACAAATAACAAACAAACAAACATATTACAACCACGTAGTCCTCATTTTATTCGCCTTTGTTGCCATTTTTATCTCAAATGAAGAAATTAAGTAAACCCCGACTTTCGACTAGCCTGTGATCTTTTAACCCTTACAATGTACCTAAGTGGTGGTGTAACCATGGTCAAAGCGTTCCCGTGCGATTCGTGTATGTGTTTATTCATAATACTGAGAGGCCATAGGCCTATAGTACATGTTATATAGTAATGGGTGTATATACATTCATATGGTTAACACATTTGGAGCTTCTTAGCTTCATAGTATGCAATATGTACATTGACAGCTTTTTCGTTGTTACTACATTCTTACTTGACATTAATGTAACATATTTCTGTAGACTTGGATAAGGGATATAATATTTATCAATTATTCAGCATTTTCATGGAGCGCGATTAATGCAGCGTCCAACTATACCGTATATGGGTAGTATTTGTTAGCAGTGTATTCGAACGCCTTGTATAAGCATAATCTATTGTTTTATGCCTCAAAGTGTGATATACCAATCAGAGAGCAGAACTACTGACCCCACATGAGCCCCTATACCGTCAGTAAAAATCCAAGATGGTTGATACTGACCTAATAACAGACATTATACCGTCAGTAACAGCCATCTTGATTTTCCAACACCCACCTAACACTTCTGGTACCGAAATTCGTTATTTGACACTGTTTTGTGTTTTACTACCATTATTTGTGAAGGACATTAATCTATTTTTTAAATCCCGTTCGTGACTTTATTGATGAAGATTATAGTTAAAATTGTCAAAAAGGTTTGGCCTCTAAGGTTTGAAGAGTAGTCTCCCTTTGACCCTTAAGGTCAACGTACGGTTGTAAGTGTCAAGCTTTCATTTTGACATGACACGTGCGATATGAATACCAGACAGTGTAAACATTTCGTCTTAATAAAGTCGCTATGGTGTCTTTAGTTGCCGTATACGGTGTCATATTAGGTTAGCAGAAAAATATTGGGCGAGGTCTTCAAGTTCCCCATCCAATTTCATTTCCTTCTAGTTTCCCATGCAGTGTCCCTTCCTTCTAGTTTTTCTATCCAATCTCTCTTCCTTCTAGTTTCCTTTCCCATCTCCCTTACTTCTAGCTTCCCATCCAATCTCCCAACCTGGTAGTTTCCCATCCAATCTCACCTCCTTCTGGTTTCCTATTCAATCTCCCGTCCTTCCATGTTTCTCATCCAATCTCCCATCCACCTAGTTTCCAATACAACCTCCATTCCTTCTAGTTTCACATCCAACCTCAATTCCTTCCATGTTTCTCATCCAATCTCCCGCCCTTCCATGTTTCTCATCCAATCTCCCTTCCTTCCATGTTTCTCATCCAATCTCCCTTCCTTCCATGTTTCCCATCCAATCTCCCTTCCTTACATGTTTCTCATCCAATCTCCCTTCCTTCTAGTTTCCCATCCAATCAGTCATTTTCCCCATCCAATCTCCCGCCCTTCCATGTTTCCCATCCAATATCCGGTCCTTCCATGTTTCCAATTCAATCTCCCTTCCTTCTAGTTTCCCATCCAATCTCCCTTCCTTCTAGTTACCTATCAAGTCTCCCTTCCTTCCATGTTCCCCATCAAATCTCCAGGCCTTCTGGTTTTATATCCAATCTCCATGCCTTCTTGTTTCCCATCTCTTCTTCATTCCTTCTAGTTTCCCATCCAATCTCCCTTCCTTCCACGTTCACCATCCAATCTCCCTTCCTGACATGTTTCTCATCCAATCTCCCTTCCTTCCATGTTCACCATCGAATCTCCCTTCCTTCTAGTTTCCCATCCAATCTCCCTTCCTTCCATGTTTCCCATCCACTCTCCCTTCCTTCCATATTCCCCATCCAATCTCCCTTCCTCCATGTCCCCATCAAATCTCCAGGCCTTCTGGTTTTATATCCAATCTCCATGCCTTCTTGTTTCCCCATCTCTTCTCCATTCCTTCTAGTTTCCCATCCAATCTCCATTCCTTCCACGTTCACTATCCAATCTCCCTTCCTTACATGTTTCCCATCCAATTTCCCTTCCTTCCATGTTCCCCATCCACTCTCCCTTCCTTCTACGTTCCCTATCCAATCTCCATTCCTTCCATGTTCCCCATCCAATCTCCCTTCCTTCCATGTTCCCCATCCAATCTCCCTTCCTTCCATGTTCCCCATCCAATCTCCCTTCCTTCCATGTTCCCCATCCAATCTCCTTTCCATCCATGTTTCTCATCCAATACTCTAATTTCCCATCCAATCTCTCTTCCTTCTAGTTTTACATCCAATCTCCCTTCCTTCTAGTTTCCCACCCAAACTCCCTTTCTTCTTGTTTCCCATCAAATCTCCCTTCCTTCCATGTTTCTCATCCAATCCTATAATTTCCCATCCAATCTCCCTTCCTTCTAGTTTCCTATCCAATCTCCCTTTCTTCTTGTTTCACATCCAATCTCCTTTCTTCTTGTTTCACATCCAATCTCCTTTTCTTCAATGTTTCTCATCCAATGCTCTAATTTCCCATCGAATCTCCCTTCCTTCTAGTTTTACATCCAATCTCCCTTCCTTTTAGTTTTACATCGAATCTCCCTTCCTTCTAGTTTTACATCCAATCTCCCTTCCTTCTAGTTTTACATCCAATCTCCATTCCTTCCAGTTTCCCATCAAATATCCCTTCCTTCTAGTTTTACATCCAATCTCCATTCCTTCTAGTTTTACATCCAATCTCCATTCCTTCTAGTTTCACATCCAATCTCCCTTTCTTCTAGTTTCCTATCCAATCTCCCTTTCTTCTTGTTTCACATCCAATCTCACTTCCTTCCATGTTTCTCATCCAATCCTCTAATTTCCCATCAAATCTCCCTTCCTTCTAGTTTCCATCCAATCTCCATTCCTTCTAGTTTCCCACCAAATCTCCCTTCCTCCTAGTTTTACATCCAATCTCCATTCCTTCTAGTTTCACATCCAATCTCCCTTTCTTCTAGTTTCCTATCCAATCTCCCTTTCTTCTTGTTTCCCATCCAATTTCCCTTCCTTCTAGTTTCCCATCCAATCTCTCTTCCTTCCATGTTCCCAAACCAATCTCCCTTCCTTCCATGTTCCCAATCCAATCCTCTCATTTCCCATCCACTCTCCCTTCGTTCAAGTTTCCCACCCAATCTCCCATCCTTCAGTTTTACATCCAATCTCCATTCCTTCTAGTTTCACATCCAATCTCCCTTCCTTCTAGTTTCCCATCGAATCTCCCTTTCTTCTTGTTTCCCATCCAATCTCCGTTCCTTCCATGTTTCTCATCCAATCTCCCTTCCTTCTAGTTTCCATCCACTCTCCCTTCCTTCCATGTTTCCCATCAAATCTCCCTTCCTTCTAGTTTCCATCCACTCTCCCCTCGTTCTAGTTTCCCACCCAATCTCCCTCCCTTCTAGTTTCCTATCCAATCTCCCGTCCTTCCATGTTCTCCAACAAATCTCAATGCCATCTGGTTTTATATCCAATCTCCATGCCTTCTAGTTTCACATCCAATCTCCCTTCCTTCTTGTTTCCTATCCAATCTCCATTCCTTCTAGTTTCCTATCCAATCTCCCTTCCTTCTAGATTCCTATCCAATCTCCCGCCCTTCCATGTTTCCCATCCAATATCCGGTCCTTCTACTTTCCTATGCAATGTCCCTTCCTTCTACTTTCCTATGCAATGTCCCTTCCTTCTAGTTTCCTATGCAATGTCCCTTCCTTCTAGTTTCCTATGCAATGTCCCTTCCTTCTAGTTTCCTATGCAATGTCCCTTCCTTCTAGTTTCCTGTGCAATGTCCCTTCCTTCTAGTTTCCTATGCAATGTCCCTTCCTTCTAGTTTCCTGTGGAATGTCCCTTCCTTCTAGTTTCAATTCCAATCTCCCTTCCTTCTAGTTCCTTATCCAATCTCCCTTCCTTCTAGTTTCCTATGCAATCTCCATTCCGTCTAGTTTCACATCCAATCTCTCTTCCTTCTAGTTTCCTATCCAATCTCCCTTTCTTCTTGTTTCACATCCAATCTCCCTTCCGTCCATGTTTCTCATCCAATATCCCTTCCTTCTAGTTTCCATCCACTCTCCCTTCGTTCTAGTTTCCCATCCACTCTCCCTTCCTTCTAGTTTTACATCCAATCTCCATTCCTTCTAGTTTCATATCCAATCTCCCTTCCTTCTAGTTTCCTATCCAATCTCCCTTTCTTCTAGTTTCACATCCAATCTCCCTTCCTTCTACTTTTCTATCCAATCTCCCTTTCTTCTTGTTTCCCATCCAATTTCCCTTCCTTCTAGTTTCCAATCCAATCTCCCTTCCTTCCATGTTCCCCATCCAATCTCCCTTCCTTCCATGTTCCCAAACCAATCTCCCTTCCTTCCATGTTCCCCATCCAATCTCCCTTCCTTCCATGTTTCTCATCCAATCCTCTCATTTCCCATCCAGTCTCCCTTCGTTCTAGTTTCCCACCCAATCTCCCATCCTTCTAGTTTTACATCCAATTTCCATTCCTTCTAGTTTCACATCCAATCTCCCTTCCTTCTAGTTTCCTATCCATTCTCCTTTTCTTCTAGTTTCACATCCAATCTCAATTCCTTCTACTTTCCTATCCAATCTCCCTTCCTTCCATGTTCCCAAACCAATCTCCCTTCCTTCCATGTTCCCCATCCAATCTCCCTTCCTTCCATGTTTCTCATCCAATCCTCTCATTTCCCATCCACTCTCCCTTCGTTCTAGTTTGCCACCCAATCTCCCATCCTTCTAGTTTTACATCCAATCTCCATTCCTTCTAGTTTCACATCCAATCTCCCTTCCTTCTAGTTTCCTATCCAATCTCCCTTTCTTCTTGTTTCACATCCAATCTCCCTTCCTTCCATGTTTCTCATCCAATCTCCCTTCCTTCTAGTTTCCATCCACTCTCCCTTCGTTCTAGTTTCCCATCCACTCTCCCTTCCTTCTAGTTTCCATCCACTCTCCCCTCGTTCTAGTTTCCAACCCAATCTCCCTTCCTTCTAGTTTCCTATCCAATCTCCCGTCCTTCCATGTTCCCCATCAAATCTCCATGCCTTCTGGTTTTATATCCAATCTCCATGCCTTCTAGTTTCACATCCAATCTCCCTTCCTTCTAGTTTCCTATCCAATCTCCCGTCCTTCTAGTTTCCTATCCAATCTCCAGCCCTTCTAGATTCCTATCCAATCTCCCGACCTTCCATGTTTCTCATCCAATATCCGGTGCTTCCATTTTTCCCATTCAATCTCCCTTCCTTCTTGTTTCCCATCAAATCTCCCGTCCTTCCATGTCTCCCATCCAATATCCGGTCCTTCCATGTTTCCCACCCAATCTCCTTCCTTCTAGTTTCCTATCCATTCTCCCGTCCTTCCATGTTCCCCATCAAATCTCCATGCCTTCTGGTTTTATATCCAATCTCCATGCCTTCTAGTTTCCCATCCAATCTCTATTTCTTTTAGATTCCTATCCAATCTCACGCCTTTCCATGTTTCCCATCCAATGTCCGGTCCTTCCATGTTTCCCATTCAATCTCCCTTCGTTCTAGTTTCCCATCCAATCTCCCTTCCTTCTAGTTTCCTATCGAATCTCCCGTCCTTCCATGTTCCCCATCAAATCTCCATGCCTTCTGGTTTTATATTCAATCTCCATGCCTTCTCGTTTCCCATCTCATCTCCATTCCTTCTAGTTTCCTATCCAATCTCCCATCCTTCCATGTTCCCCATCAAATCCCAATGCCTTTTGGTTTTATATCCAATCTCCATGCCTTCTCGTTTCCCATCTCATCTCCATTCCTTCTAGTTTCCTTTCCAATCTCCCATCCTTCCATGTTCCCCATCAAATCTCCATGCCTTCTGGTTTTATATCCAATCTCCATGCCTTCTTGTTCACCATCCAATCTCCCTTCCTTCTAGTTTCCTATCCAATCTCCCATCCTTCCATGTTCCCCATCAAATCTCCATGCCTTCTGGTTTTATATCCAATCTCCAAGCCTTCTTGTTCACCATCCAATCTCCCTTCCTTACATGTTTCCCATCCAATCTTCCTTCCTTCTAGTTTCCCATCCAATCTCCGTTCCTTCAAGTTCCCCATCCAATCTCCCATCCTTCCATGTTCCCCATCAAATCTCCATGCCTTCTGGTTTTATATCCAATCTCCATGCCTTCTTGTTCACCATCCAATCTCCCTTCCTTACATGTTTCCCATCCAATCTCCCTTCCTTCTAGTTTCCCATCCAATCTCCGTTCCTTCAAGTTCCCCATCCAATCTCCCATCCTTCCATGTTCCCCATCCAATCTCCATGCCTTCTGGTTTTATATCCAATCTCCATGCCTTCTTGTTCACCATCCAATCTCCCTTCCTTACATGTTTCCCATCCAATCTCCATTCCTTCTAGTTTCCCATCCAATCTCCGTTCCTTCTAGTTTCCCATCCAATCTCCCTTCCTTACAAGTTCCCCATCCAATCTCCCATCCTTCCATGTTCCCCATCAAATCTCCATGCCTTCTGGTTTTATATCCAATCTCCATGCCTTCTTGTTCACCATCCAATCTCCCTTCCTTACATGTTTCCCATCCAATCTCCATTCCTTCTAGTTTCCCATCCAATCTCCTTTCCTTCTAATTCCCCATCCAATCTCCCGTCCTTCCATGTTTCTCATCCAACCAGTGTTCCCACCATGTTCCAGAACACATCTCTCTTCCTTCATGTTTCCCATCTAATCTCCATTCCTTCGATGTTCCCCATCCAATCTCCCATCCTTCTAACCTTCCAATTACCCTTCCTTCCTTGTTCCCATCACACAGTCCTTCCTTCATTGTCACACGCCCAATATCCCTTTCTACCATGTTCCCAAACATATCTCCCAAGTTCCCCATTATATCCCTCAACTTCCCAAGCTGATCATGCCGTATTTCCTCTTCCTGCTATGCGGCAAACCTGCCTCTTTTACGCCTTTCCATCCCCATGTGTTTCCTGTGCCTCGTCTCAATCACCTAAATGCAACAAACAATGACACAATTTCCGTATGAACTACCTTGTATGCAACTTTCATAACAAAATTAAAGTTTTTTTTCTGTTTGGTGGAGGTAGGGGTATGTCTCAAAACTAAAGGAGTTTTTTTCATTCTACATTGATCCTTTCACCTGCACATTAACTACACCATGTAAATAATCTGGACAAGGCAAGCCTGTAACTGAAAATATATGTACTATATACAATACACCGACAATTCATTTATTAAAATAAATACTTGGAACAAATGATTAAGCATCATGTTTTAAAACAAACAACAATGTTTCCTGAATATGCTGGATGTTCTGCAAAATCTTGGGTGTTGTGAAAAAATATATTCAGCGCAACCCCGATAATCCGGATGCGCCGATACTATTGTAATCGTCTGGATTAAAGAATCTTTGCTTGGCAGTATTGTACATTGTTACCTGAAAACGGGTTTCTGATTCATTGAATCGAGACTAATGTGGTTTCACTTTACACAATAAAAACCTCTGTTGTTTTCTTATGTGACCTGTTAATGATCTGTTGGAATGGCCAAGTCTTTCATACTCAGGAAATCTCATGGTACCTTAATATTTGTGTAAATATCCATCTTAACAAAAAAAATATGTTCCAAGCCACTTAGGATAGAAATAGCGAAATATTTCAGAGACGGTCTATAAAAACATGAATATAATACTGTACTGTTTAATCATGTATTTTGTAAATGACTTATCCAATAACATAAGGGTTGTATGAGTGAGTGAGTTGGGTTTAACGCCGCTTTTAACAGTATTCCAGTTATATCGCGGCGTGTCAGCTTCATGTGGGAGGAAAGCCAGAAGTGATGCAGGTCTCAGACGTTTACCACATGTTTATAACATAATCGGGGCGAACCGGGATTCGAACTAAGGGTTGTATGGGCCCTATTTAAGGGTTGTATGTTCTCTGTCACTACGTGTGTTCCATCAATACAATTTGAGTGACCTGAGTCAACCGAGGTTAGCACATTTATTTATAGCAAGAGTTAACCAGGGTTGACTTGATTCAACCTGAGTTGACCAGTGTTAATCAAGGGGAACTCTAGTAAGATTCCCGAAACACAAAGAATAAAATGCAACCTTTGCTATAATAATGGCTGCCAGGAGAAAGGAGGAACACAACAGCCGTTGCTTTAAAACACAACTATGACAGATTAAAAAGTTACTTTTTTGATAGGCATTTAGAAGTTGGAGTACTAAGTAAGGATAACAATTTATGGACGAACAGCATCTTAATTACAATTAAGACCGACGTTTCGGTGTAGGTTCTAACACCATTATCAAGCAAGTCATAAGTTGATATGTGTTTAGATTGGTCAACCAAGGTTAACTAAGGTTATGCCTTGGTCAACGCGGGTTCGCCTGCGTCGTGCTTGGTTTTCAAATCGAACGCAAGCTGTATTTGTGATCCTCAAGAATAAACTTCTTCATCTTCTTCTTCACAGCACCATGTCGGAGAGAAAAGCTGTCATCAAGAATGCCGACATGAGCGAGGAAATGCAGCAAGATGCTGTCGAGTGCGCCACTCAAGCCATGGAGAAGTTCAACATTGAGAAGGACATCGCTGCATACATCAAGAAGGAGTTCGACAAGAAGTTCAACCCCACATGGCATTGTATTGTCGGTCGCAACTTTGGCAGCTACGTCACCCACGAGACCAAGCACTTCATCTACTTCTATCTGGGACAGGTGGCTGTTCTCCTCTTCAAATCAGGATGAACAATGCTGAAATAAGAAGACAATGGATAAAGTTACGGTTTTAGTGTCAAGTGCACAAGTCTATTTACTCTGTCATCTTGGATAAAATGTGAATGTTACCTGCTCATAAACATCTTGCTTAAGTACCTCAACTTCTGGAGATTATTGAAATACAAAACATTGTTTCAGTATAAGTAAACCAAGCTTGCTCCATGAACGGATGGAAGCCAGCATTAATGATTATGTGAGTCAAACAGTTACAGTTGTGCTCCTTCAGTGGGATTTAAATTTATAACGTATACATTTCGTATGGCTAAATGTAACGTACGTCTTTGCAACGTCTTTGTTCGGCCTTAAAATTAGTGATATTGTTTCTTTGAGTACATAATTTAGGTTCAGAGCTACAGATAAGCAGCGTGTTTGCGTAAAATACACCCCAAAACTATTCAAAAAGCAATTTTTTTTTCAATTAACTTGCGTACAGAAACGCATGCATTAAATGGAAAACTCATAAACTCAATTAAAGTAGAAACCTTCGAGTAAAAACTCTATTGCTCAAAAAGTTATCTGGAGCTCTGTAGGTTATTTAATAATTGACGTAAATTCTTCTACGTTTATGGGGGTATAAATGTGAAAAAAGGTGTGCAGTTTGTGTGAAACAGGTTTCTACATTACTACCGCCACAAACCCAAATATATTGAAGTCAATTCTTTTTGATAAATAAGTTAACAATAATAACTTCACAAATTGATCATTTAATCATGAACACAAACAACTGTAGACAACCATACGAAATCTGTGACACCATTTAGCTCAATAATGCACAACAATAAGAACAATTGCTTGGTTAGCCTGTCAAATGACATAAAATCACTTGGTATTTATATATTATGTAATCAACCGCATGATTGATACACATCATATAATATGACTGTTCGGGTTACAAAGTAGGTATTGAATTATTTATATCAAACTTACTAGGTCAGATGTGACGGGCTGGTAGCCTTGCGGTCAAAGCGTTCGCTCGTCACACCGATGACCAGTGTTCGATTCGCGACATGGGTACAATGTGTGAAGCTCATTTCTGGTGTCACCCGCCGTATCTTATGCTGAAAGTGGCGTAAAACCATACTCACTCACTCACTCACTCACTCACTCACTAGGTCTGATTCTAGTTCTTCGTTGACACGCTCACGTGTCCATAGACTGCATGTTTATATTCTTGTGTTAGCCGTTGCTTGCCAAGATTTGACTATTCCTAGATATGACAACTTGTACGATTTAGTAGCATTGTAATACAGCCAAGCAGTTACACAAAACAAAATGCTCATCTAATGAGGATAATACTTTGTGCGTTTAAAATGAAAATTATGTCCATTATCATTTCTTCATTATCATGTGTTTCCTTGAAACATGTTTGATCTCAGTTTTCAACAATGTTGGCAGATGGTTGTTTTATGTTTGACGTTTTGTTGTAAAATGTTGACGTGTATGTTTCTAAAGTAAGACCACCCCAAGTTCAAAATCACGTCAAACAGAATTTAGTTACCACCTCGACGAAAACCCATTTCATATCCTGCCAACATGCAGCCAATGAAAATATTCAAGGATATATTTATCTTTTTTATCTCAATCTGTTGTTTATTTACCTATTGTTATGTTTGGAGGAAAATAAATAGTTATACCTAACTTTGTATCAATATGTATACAATTTCAGTTTGTCATTTCTCTTAAAACATGTTCCCCATTTTGATTGCGGGTTGGAATAGGTCCAAGCAGCAGCAGCTTGTCGTAGATCTTTTTGTCATTGTGATTGGTTGAATGGGTGTGGACAACGTGGTATGTTGCACCTAATATCACTGGTTTATCTTGTCCAAACTAGATTATTTATATTATAAAGCTGGAATAAGACTGAGTGCGGCGTAAAACAACAAACGGACACAGACCCTGCCACTTCAGAATCATCGTCATGCTCACATTGATGGTTGTGGTATTCAAGTTAGTAAGGACTTAATCTTTGCAGCCTAATAGTCTAGTTGGCGTTCTGGGTCAGAATAGCAGATGAGCCTACTAATATGATGGTAGAGGGGTTCCAAGGTGTGACAACAGCGTTGATCGTTGCTCTTGCTGTCAACCTATACTTTGCTTGGCCCAGACTCTGTTATTTATAGCCCGCCGTTACATAGCTGGAATATTGCTGACTGGGGCGAGAAACGACAGTAACTCCTGTTCAAAGCCCTTGGGGCCCTGGTTAGAATAGAACACCGGCACCACACTGCTAGTCCTAATCGGGTTGTCAGTCTCTGTCTGTGACTTGGATGATTTCGTGTCATCGTACCCAGATGGCGTGGACAGTGTCTCATGTTTTAATAACTTGTTTGTCTTGGACTGACTCGGTTATTTGCAAGCGCCCGTGACCCGTGAAGATCCGGGGTGGAATAGGTCTTCAGCAACCCATGCTTGCCATAAAAGGCAACTGTACTTGTCGTAAGAGGCGACGAACGGGAGCGGATGGTCAGGCTCGCTGACTTGGTTTGGTTGATGCATGTCATCGTATCCCAACTTTATGTATCGATGCTCGTGATGTCAATCACTGGATTATCTGGTCCAGACTCGATTGTTTACAGACCGCCGTCATATTGCAGAGTGCGGCGTTAAACAACAAATAAACCAACGAAATGTTTCAAATAATAAATAGGATTTTTAATAGTATTAAAACAGGGGCAGGGAAGTGCTTATGGCACCTGGCGTTCCCAGTTGTACGTGACACGGTACATAATAACACTAGCCGAACACTTGCGATATTGTTACGCCCCATATAATGAGTTCCTGTAACTAACTTGATTCGATGACTCTTGTTACTGTCGGACTGGTGTTACTTGTTGATTCCCAAATTAACACGCGAAGGTTAACCCAGAAATCGTTACGTACAGAACTAAATCGGAAATCGGTAAATAACCTCAATGAATAATCAACAAATTATAATGAAACTCACACTAATATAAAGTCAAAGTATGAGGCAGCAGCAATATATAAATATATCAGGCCCTAATTACTAAGTCAGTGCACTCGCGAATAACCATTACATTGAAATATAGAGGAAAAAAGTTACAATCATATAAGGCCTTACAATGGCTCAAATATGTGACAGCAGGAATATTCAAGAATAGGCCCCATTTCAAAGATCAGTGCACATACCAATGAACAGCATTTATCTTGGATGAGGCAGGTGCTTCTTTCTTGATTCCAAGAATCAGTGTTCGAAAATAGGCAGACCGAAGTCAGGTCGTAGTAGAAAGGCCCCGAATATTCATCGTCTGGCTGTTATATTTCAACAGCCAGCCTTCAAGAAAATACTACCTCCAACCGTCTGGAATAATGTCCCCTTTAAATAAGGTAATAGACTAGCTCATCACAGCGGAGCTATATATACCGGGAAGGCAACGAACGAGTCAAGTGCTGGGATGGAGTTTGGACAATATAAAGGAAGGTCACATGAAAAGAGAACTGATAAACTTATCAGTATTTTCTGCTGAACTTGGAGCAATTATTGAAGAGTTGCGTTGGATTATTCTTTATCAGCGGTAATTTTCAGTTACTCTGTCAGTGCATTACAAGCAATTCGGGTAGGTTCTTCCTCAGCGAGACAGGACTTGATCAACAATATTCTCGACCTTTATAATAACTTAAGCAAAAGATCTGTTGGATATCGAATTTAAATGGATCCCTGCTCATGTTGGAATACTTGGAAATGAGAAGGCTGATAAATTGGCAAAAGCTGCATTAGAATTTGAAGAATCAGAACAGGATGAAACAATTTTACCTTCCCCTGCAGAGTAAGGCACCGTCAGTATGATACATGCTGAAACAGAATGGCAGCAGAGATGGGCATCATCCTTAAAAGGACGTCATCTCTTTGGCATCGATTCTTTTATGACTAAATTACACATATCTAGAAATAACCGGAGAGAGGAGGTTCTCTTAACCAGACTTCGTTTGGGGCATTGTGGTCCTGGTGCATATCTCAATATTATTAATAAAGTCATTTCTGCACTTTGTACAGTGTGTAATCAGCTTGATAATGTGGCTCATTATTTACTGCATTGCCAAAAGTATGTCAATCAGCGTAAGGCAATGATGGAGTCTAACAGTTCTCAATACTGACCTCTCATTGGTTGGACTTTTATGTTCTGGGAATAGTGTTCGCCATGACGTTCAGAAAGTCGTTCTCACTTATATTAAAGCGTGTGGCAGTTTAACTAGTTTATAAATATCTAGGTACTTAGCAAACATTTATTATGGGCAAGGTGTAAATGGGCCTAGTTGCCCGAACACCTATAAAACTTTAAATGATCAATCAATCAATCAACGACCAAGCTCAATATTATACGAGCGCCTCAATCAATTTGCCACTTTCTATAATTAGAAATAAAGCTACACTACACACTGCCACAAAACACTGTACATAAAATGAATCTTTGTTGGGGAATTTGTCTGGGGCATTTATCATAATCTGCTGGATATTCAAGGATGCTTTGGAGTACGATGACACACAATAAACCAATAGACCCGTGAAGATCCAAGGTAGAATAACTCTTCAACCACCCATGCTTGTCGTGAGAGGCAACTAACGTGATCGGGTGGTCAGACTCGCTGACTTGGTTAATGCCTGTCAGTGTATCCCAATTGCGGAGATCGATGCTCATGATATCAATCACTGAACTTTCTGGTCCCGACTCGATTATTTACAGACCGCCGTCATATTCCTGGAATATTGATGAGTGCGTTGTTAAACAACAAACAAACTATGATACAGGTTTTAACTTTGATTTGAATGATTTTGATGTTGAAATAGAAGATTGTAATACCACATTACATGCAAGAATATCCTCTGCTGAAGTGTTACAAGCTGTGGAACAACTTAAAACCAACAAGGCTTGTGGTAATGGTTGAATTGTGAATGAGTACATCAATCACAAGGTGCTAGAAATGTATAAAATCAAGTTAGTTACAGGAACTTATTATATTGGGCATAATTATATTCTACCCCGGATCCTCACGGGTCTCATCAGATATACAAGAAAATGAAATGAAACATAAATATTCATCTGTTACTGGTATTTTCTTATTCCCTGTCATAGGTTCTCGCCAGTCGAACCCGGATCCTAATCCCACATACAGAAATGATTGAATGAATATGATGATGTTGTCTAACGCTGCAGTCAGCAATATTCCAGCTATGTCACGGGCGCTTGCAAATAACCGAGTCAGTCCAAGACAAACAAGTGATTAAAACATGAGACACTATCCACGCCATCTGGGTACGATGACACGAAATCATCCAAGTCACAGACAGAGACTGACAACCCGATTAAGACTAGCAATGTGGTGCCGGTGATCTATTCTAACCAGAGCCCCAAGGGCTTTGAACAGGAGTTACTGTCGTTTCTCTCCCCAGTCAGCAATAGTCCAGCTATGTAACGACAGGTTATAAATAACAGCGTCTGGGCCAAGCAAAGTAGTGGTTGATAGCAAGAGCAACGATCAACGCTGTTGTCACACCTTGGAACCCCTCTACCATCATATTAGTAGGCTCATCTGCTATTCTGACCCAGAACGCCAACGGGACTATTAGGCTGCAAAGATTAAGTCCTTACTAACTTGAATACCACAACCATCAATGTGAGCATGACGATGATTCTGAAGTGACAGGGTCTGTGTCCGTTTGTTGTTTTACGCCGCACTCAGTATTATTCCAGCTTTATAATAAACTGACGTCCCAAAAAAACTTTACCAACTGAAAATATAAATTTCAGACAAAGTATAAATTTTGAAGTCTATCTAAAACACATAACCTAAATACAACAATAGTGTATGCAGAAAATGTTAATCGTCTGTTACATGTTTGCGAGATAACACGCGAAAAAGTGAAAAACACGTGCACCACGGACAACTGCAAATGCACGTGCGGGTAAGGGTATAAAACGATTGCAACGGCAAGTCAGACATCCAGAGTGATAAAAAAAAACACAAAAGAAATGCCACGACTCACAGTCGAACAAGGTGAACGAGCCTTCGGTATGGTACAGATGGGAGCCACCCACGCCCATATTGCACGAACCTTCGGTTACTCCCGTGTTGCCGTTACCAACTTGACGCAACGTTACAGACAGACAAGGCGGACCGCTGACAGGCCAAGAACAGGCAGACCCAGGGTGACCACGCCCAATGATGACCGGTACTTGCGTACCTTGCACCTCCGAAATCGCTTCCTGACATTGACGTAGTCGGGGACAAATGCTTTAGGTCACAGGGTTAGTCGACAGACAGTGGCCAGGAGACTCAGGGTTCATGGAATCAGGGCCATACAGAGGACAGCTATTGACAGCGCAACATCGTCGTCTGCTATTGAGATGGGCCCGGACTGTACGACGTTGGCAACGACGTGACTGGCAGAGGGTTTTCTTCACTGACGAAAGTCGATTCTGTATGTTTAGGGCTGATGGAAGACAACGTGTTTACCGCCGAAGGGGTTAACGAACGGCGGCGTGTTGCGTGCAGGAGGTCATACCATATGGTGGAGGGAGTGTCATGGTGTGGGGAGGGATCTGTGGGCAAGAGAGGACACCGCTGGTCATCGCTGACGGAAACTTGACAGCTCAGCGGTACATGGATAACAATCTTCGTCCAGTTGTCCACCATTTCTCCAACAGCAGCCATTTATCAGTATGACAACGCTAGAGCCCATACAGCCAGAATTGTCACTAACTTCCTCGCAGCCAACAACGTCAACGTCCTGCCGTGGCCTGCACGCTCACCCGACATGTCCCCCATAGAACACCTCTTGGACTTAATGGATCGTCGTGTTCGACAACGACCACACTCTCCAGCCAACCGGCAAGAACTGATCTTGGCCCTCCAAGACGAATGGCGTCAAATCCCACGTGACCTCATCTGACGACTGACTATCTGTGCGTCGAAGAGTTTTTGCGTGTTTTGGGGCATTTGGTGGTCACACACGCTACTAATGACTTGTTATTGAACGTGAGCGATTGTTTATGTACTATGCCTGTTGTCCCTGATTCTGAAAGCTCGAGTTTTGTACCACACCCAACGTTGGGGGGCTCTGACGTCATTCCTCGGTCGCGGTATGATTGTCATTTTCAGTGTTGATTATGTTGATATATTGATCTTCTCAATACACTTTACTTCATGCATGTTTGTTTTGTTGTTTTTGAGCAAGAGTGATTTCAAACTCTGGTAAAGTTTCTTATGGACATCAGTTTATAAATAATCTAGTTTCACCAAACCAGTGATATTAGGTGCAACATACCACGTCGTCCACAAGCATTCAACCAATCACAATGACAAAAAGATCTACGACAAGCTGCTGCTGCTGGGACCTATTCCAACCCGCAATCAAAACAGAGAACATGTTTTAAGAGAAATGACAAACTGAAATTGTATACATATTGATACAAAGTTAGGTATAACTATTTATTTTCCTCGAAACATAACAATAGGTAAATAACCAACAGATTGAGATAAAAAAGATAAATATATCCTTGAATATTTTCATAGGCTGCATGTTGGATTAACACACTTACACACTTAACTAGAATCAGACCTAGTAAGTTTGATATAAATAATTTAATACCCACTTTGTTACCTGAACAGTCAAATTATATAAAGTGTATCCATCGTGCGGATGATTACATAATATATAAAATACCAAGTGATTATATGTCATTTGACAGGCTAACCAAGCAATTGTTATTGCTGCACATTATTGCGCTAAATGGTGTCACAGATTTCGTATGGTTGTCTACAGTTGCTTTTGTTAATGATTAAATGATTAAAATTAAATTTGTGAAGTTATTATTGTTAACTTATTTATCAATAAGAATTGGTATAAATGTAGAAACCTGTTTCGCACAAAACTGCACACCTTTTTTACGTTTATACCCCCATAAGCGCAGAAGAATTGACGTCAATTATTAAATAACATACAGAGCTCCAGATAACTTTTTGAGCAAAAGGGGTTTTACTCGAAGGTTTCTATTTTAATTGGGTTATTACATTTTACATTGGGTAACCAATATTTTTCCACTCATCATTTAATTTTGAGATTTATAAAAAAAATAAAATTATGTTTAAGATGTATATAAATGTTCTAAATATAGACTCGGAAAGTAAATTAGCTCGTAATTGTGTTTCGGAGATTAGCTCCGTTGTACACATGCTGAAAAAGCTTCATTGGCGTTTTTGCGTGCTGTTTTTATACATTTGAGTTTCCACTTAATGCAAGCGTTTCTGTAAGCAAGTTAATTGAAAGTAATTGGGGTTTGAATAGTTTTGGGGGGTTAAACACGCTGCTTATCTGTAGCTCTGAACCTAAATTATGTACTCAAAGAAGCAATATCACTAATTTTAAGGCCGAACAAAGACGTTACAAAGACATACGTTACATTTAGCCATACGAAATGTATATGTTTAAAATTTACATCCCACTGAAGGAGCACAACTGTAACTGTTTGACTCACAGAATCATTAACGCTGGCTTCCATCCGTTCATGGAGCAAGCATGGTTTACTTAAACTGAAACAATGTTTTGTATTTCAATACTCTCCAGAAGTTAAGGTACTTAAGCAAGATGTTTATGAGCAGGTAACATTCACATTTTATCCAAGATGACAGAGTTAATAGACTTGAGTACTTAACACTAAAACCGTAACTTTATCCATTGTCTTCTTATTTAAGCATCATGGTCCATTGTTCATCCTGATTTGATGAGAACAGCCACCTGTCCCAAATAGAAGTAGATGAATAGCTTGGTCTCGTGGGTGACGTAGCTGCCAAAGTTGCGACCGACAATACAATGCCATGTGGGGTTGAACTTCTTGTCGAACTCCTTCTTGATGTATGCAGCGATGTCCTTCTCAATGTTGAACTTTTCCAGTGCTTGTGTGGCGCAGTCTACAGCATCTTGCTGCATGTCCTCGCTCATGTCGGCATTCTTGATGACAGCTTTTCTCTCCGACATGGTGCCGTGAAAGACAACTGGTAACTTAACTAATGGTGTTCGGTAAAACCTCGTCAGTCTCGATCCCGTCAATCAGAAACCTGTTTCCCGGCAACCATACCTATAGAATATACTTCCAACAGAAAATGCTTTAATCCGGATTCGCCTCATCCGGATTAACCGGGTTTCATATGTACAATTCTATTTCTCCGGAGCCCCTTTTTTTGCAGGACATCCAGTATATCTAACAAACATCGCTTTTGTTTCCAAAACCAGAGGGCTAATACCTAAGACACTTCCTGCAATATCTTTTACAATGAATAGTAGAGACCTGACGGAAGGTGTTCGTGGGAGCTCAAATGTGCCTTTGTTCAAGTGAGTACTTCTTCGCAATGATTTACAAATCAGGTAATGCTGCAAAGCTTTTGATTATGTCAACTTAGATATTGCATGAAGAGCTTTGGAGATTGATTTGAGATACTTGAGATTGCGTGTTGATTATAGAGGATTATGAGATTTAAAGTGTTGATTATGGATGCTTAACAGATTCCATAGTGTTTATCCATAAGGGATTATGTGATTTGGGGTTTAACAAGAGAGATGGTTGGAAGGGGCGGTTGAGGGTGGGAGATGTGTGTGTTTTACTATAAAAGGAAAAATATAATTTGTCCAGTCGAAAATGGTCTTTCTACGAAGATTTCAAAGGGCGTCATACAACTCTTGTCCAACAGGGTTACAACTTTCAATGCCCATGTAAAGCTTTCAAAAATGTGTATGGTTGACATGATGAGGACAATCTGATTAAAACCAGATCTTTTACTCCCTTAGTGCTGAGACCCAGACAGGGGAACAACAAGTACCATATCTTAACGTCTTTTGGTATGACGCGGCCGGGGACCAAACCCCGGACCTTCCGCTCTCCGGGCGGACACTCTCCTAGACGTACTAGTGGGTTCGAATCCCAGGTTCGTCCTGATTAGTTATCTGTGACAGTCTCGTGCTCGTGGGTTTCAAAAACGTCCAAGACCTGCATCACTTTGGGCATACCTTCCAAATCAAACTGTCACGCCATGATACAACTGAAAAGATGTTCAAAGCGGCGTAAAACTAAACTCACTTACTCTGACATCCTGACAAATGGAGAGAAGGTTAAAGGTCAAGGAGAAAGTAAGATGACTGTTCGTTGATTAAAACATACGACACAATTTAGCGTGTATACGATAAAAGTCGATTTTTAGACCCAGACATAGTCATTACAGGGCTTGACGAGTAGCTGTAGAGAAGACAAAGAGAGCGCCATACCAGTGTCAAAGCCGATAGCAGCGACTGTACCCGTGCCAAACCCGTGCCGAAATTCCAGTTTCCTGCGTTTACAAATGATGTTAATGTAGTTAGGAATGATTACTCAGCAAATTATCGAATTAAGGGCATAAAACAAGGACTGGTCGGCTCGAATCAGTATACTGTGGCTGAGTGGGGTAATCATGTTAAACTGCGGCATGGTATCACTGTGGGCTAGCACTATATAAAAACGGCATACGTCCTCTCTGGTACAAGCAAACACACACATACAGAGACGCACATACACACACGTGCATGGACGTCGCTACATAAATGCAATAATCTTGTGAACGACTTTAAACCCCATTTTACCTCACCCATTTTATAAAACGCGAGGTACATGAGCCTTGTTCCCTATGAAATACCGCAATCACTATCAAAATACGCTTTGATTGGTTATTTATTCATACTATCCCAAATTTAATAGAAACAAACTGATTCTGTTCCAGCCACAAAAATGGGAAATAAAAAAGCCAGAGCCATTGTAGGCATATCACGTGCACCTGATATACACACATCATTTGTGCGCGACCCTGACCAGAATTTCACGGTCCATTGTCATTGTTTCCATCATACTCTCGTCTGCTTTGACACGGGAAAGTCATATCAAGGCTCACTTAAAATAATCTAAATATGGAAACACAAATTCATCTCAAAACCGGTTATTTCAGTCTGTTATAGAGATGCCGTTCAACCCAAATACACTTCAAAGCAGTTGAACAACATGCACTTACTCATAGTGACGAATCTGTACAATTTCAAAGCATAGCGGATAATGGATTCTTGTAAGTTCACGTAAGACAGACTTAACGATGATATATAACACATCGTTTACAGGATTGTGTTTTCCGTTTGTGTCCCAAACGACAAAGAAATGTGAAGACTGAAAACAAGCGTAAGCTGAAGTCCGAAACACCTGGCGTTTTATTATCTCCATATTATCCCCATGCTGGCGTAAGCAACTTGTATTACAATAAATATACATGAGACTCTCCCTGTATGTGAATATATCATTATTGTAACATATTTCCTCTGTGGACCACGATTTGAGGAGTACGTTCCCCGCGCCAGTGATAATGTATACATTTGTGCTAGCCACATAGATGTGTTCACTCAACCGCGACAGACACCGTCCTCGGGACTTGGCCAAATGTGTCAGGATTTTCGATCTTATACAAGTGTCATTAGGATGCAAATTGAATATTCCAACGACGCTGAATTAAATCCCGGTCCAATTGGAATGAAAGACTCAAATGTGGTTAAATCAGCGATAGTTGATGAATTCGCGATTTTCGAGCGGCTGTCTCTAAAGATATCGATGGCATGAAAGAACAACTAACTGATCTCCATATTACCCTCATGCTGGCGTAAGCATCTTGTACTACAGTTAATATACATGAGACTTTCCGTGTATGTGAATATATCATTATTGTAACATATTTCCGCTGTGGGCCACTTATTCTGAAGCTCCGGGATGAATCAATCGTTCCGTGTCTATGCTGTAGCGTGTGACCTTGCCCGCTCAAGTTCAAATCGCATGCATCATAGACTTGCAATTGTTCGTCGTTGTCTTCCCTGTAAATAGTACGTCGGGTGGTATGACAGAGTTTGGGGATGCGCGCGTTTTGCATGCCGGGAAGTTAGAACCTCCTACAGTAAACACTCAACTCAGCCAGTCAAACTGCAGCATTTAACCAATAGAATTTCTAGCCATAGCTTGCTATGGTTGTTATAGGATGATATGTAACCGAAGGTAACACGAAATAAAATAATAGCATTTTGATATTACAACTCGAAAAGTACTAGTGTCTCACAAATGTCAAAGGCGTTACCATACTAATAAGGTAAGAGTACTATTTTACCCTCAAAATCATATAAACGCACGTTAGTAACTGAAATGCAGAATCAATGTTGAATTGTAGTGGGGGATTTCTGGAACTATTGTAGTTAAATCACTGTTTATTTCTGCCACACCCATCAAAGTTGTCCCGCGTCGTGTGTTGCTGTTCGTGGTCCTTCAAAGCTATATTATTTCAACTGTTTAACTGGATAGACGGTAGGTTAAAATACTACACATATCTCAATTTGAACTGAACAAACTGATGAACAATAATACATTTCCTGTGGCCTAAAATATTCATCATCGATCAATCTATCCGTACTGAGCCGATATCTATATTTTTACCAGATAGAAATGGGAACGATCCACCTCAACAGTTCTACAGAAAACGGATTCGTCTAAACCCTGAATTTGAATTTGTTTACATTAAAAAGCCTCACATAATGTGTTTGTCAATGACAAAAAAAAAAAAAAAAATTCCCTGGGTTTTATTTAAAACGGATTTGTTTCTGGAAGATTGTTTATTTAGTTATTGTCTTAAATTGACCAGCGTCACCTTTCCTAAGTACAAACACAGATTTTGTGCGCTTTATTTGGATATTTCTATGGATATTAATGATGTGTCATGCCGCACTCAGCAACAATCAGTCTTCATCGCTGCAGACTGTAAATAATCGAGTCTTTACCCGTCAAACCAGTGGTTCAACGACGATACATTACCAACCAGGTTACATGTCACAGATTGACTGGTCCAGACGCGATTATTTACAGACCGCCGTCATGTGGATTGATTATTGCTGAGTGCGGCGTTACACAACAAATAACAAACAAACAAACAAACATATTACAACCACGTAGTCCTAATTTTATTCGCCTTTGTTGCCATTTTTATCTCAAATGAAGAATTTAAGTAAACCCCGACTTTCGACTAGCCGGCGATCTTTTAACCCTTACAATGTACCTAAGTGGTGGTGTAACCATGGTCAAAGCGTTCCCGTGCGATTCGTGTATGTGTTTATTCATAATACTGAGAGGCCATAGGCCTATAGTACATGTTATATAGTAATGGGTGTATATACATTCATATGGTTAACACATTTGGAGCTTCTTAGCTTCAGAGCATGCAATATGTACATTGACAGCTTTTTCGTTGTTACTACATTCTTACTTGACATTAATGTAACAAATTTCTGTAGACATGGATATAATATTTATCAATTAACTGTTTTCTGAGTTCAGCATATTCATGCAGCGCGATTAATGCAGCGTCCAACTATACCGTATATGAGTAGTATTGGTTACCAGTGTATTCAAACGCCTTGTATAAGCATAATCTAATTTATTATGCCTCAAAGTGAGTTTGACCAATCAGAGAGCAGAACTACTGACTCCACATGAGCCGTATACCGTCAGTAAAGATCCAAGATGGTTGATACTGACCTCATATGAGACCGTATACCGTCAGTAACAGCAATCTTGATTTTCAAACACCCATCTCACATATTTCAAATGAAAACTCTGGAACCGAAATTCGTAATTTGACACTGTTTTGTGTTTTACTACCATTAATGGTGATGTGCAAGGACATTAATCTATTTTTTAGATCCCGTTCGTGACTTTGTTGATAAAGATTATAGTTAAAATTGTCAACAAGGTTTGGCCTCTAAGGTTTGAAGAGTAGTCTCCCTTTGACCTTTAAGGCCAACGTACGGTTGTAAGTGTCAAGCTCTCATTTTGACATGATACGTGCGATATGGACCACAGACAGTGTAAACATTTCGGCATAATAAAGTCGCTATGGTGTCTTTAGTTGCTATATACGGTGTTATATTAGGTTAGCAGAAAAATATTGGGCGAGGCCTCCAAGTT